CCCCCGGTCCCGCGGCCGTTGGGCGCTCGGGGGATGTCGCCTCCCGGGCCCTGCCCCCGGCCCCTCCCCCGCCGGGGCCTGGCTGGGGCTTGGGGCGATGCTGCCTCGGGCCCCCGCTTCCGGCTATCGTCTCAACTCCGCCACTCAGCAAGTGTTTCTTTTAATAGATTTTTTTCGTGTCGGAAGGGATCTTGGTAGATCGAGTCTGCCCCCCTGCCCTGGGCGGGAGAAAGCGCTGGGGCCAGACAGCCCCGGCCAGGTGCTCGTCCGGCCTCCTCTGAAAGACCCTACAGAGTAGGGGAGAGCACCGCCGTTGGATAATATACCGTGGGTGCTCGACCAACTTAAATTGGCCGTGGTGAGACGTGGTGTAATCTGAGCGCCGAGTTGCCTGCGTGTTGCCATTTGCCTTATCATAATCTCTGGTTTTTTCAATTTATTTTTTTATTTTTTTGAGTCTTCGTGCCAACGTTGGTATTGCACTGGCACTAAATGGTGGGCAAAATTGTTTTCCTGAGAGCATCAGAAGAGCGTTTGTTGGTTGCAAAGGTGAACGTTTTTTTTTTTTCTCTATCTGTGTACTTAGTAAACTACCTGCATACTGGGCTGGGTGGCACCGTGGGTTTAGCACCTCAGCTTTTTGCTGCTTCACATCAGGGTTTGACTTCTGCCTTGGGTCACAAGTGAAAAGGATGTAGTGGTCCTGTCCGAGTCCCTGGTGGATGCTTGTTCACGTTAGGAAAGAAATAAAACCCTCGGTGCAATTGGCAGCTGTTGTTTGAGGAGCCCAGGATGTGCATTTTTATAGGCATGGGTATATAGCAGGTCACGTTTGAGGTGCTTGGCAGATCGGTTTGAGGGAAGCTTGCACAGCACCTGCTCCTTCTGAAATGGTCTGATCCATAGGTTACTCTTTTTTCCGACTAAAAAAGGAAAATTATACACAGGAGTAATGAACCTTAAATGGTGAGACCAGGGGGCGGAACTCTTAAAGTAAAGCACTTGCCCTTTAAATCCTGGTCACTGGACGTTAAATTTGTCACTTCCTTTTGGTTTTTCTAGTTTCACGTTTTATAAAAACAACATGCAATTTTTAGACCGTCCCATAGTTATTCAGCAAACAAAAATATATTTTTTCCTTCTGCCTTTACACACAGAATGGCTCAGCAGCAAGCACTGAGATTTCGTGGTCCAGCTCCACCACCAAATGCCGTTATGAGAGGCCCGCCACCTCTCATGCGTCCACCTCCACCTTTTGGTATGATGCGTGGTCCACCTCCGCCACCTCGGCCGCCCTTTGGACGTCCTCCATTTGATCCAAACATGCCTCCAATGCCGCCTCCGGGAGGGATTCCTCCACCAATGGGGCCTCCACATTTACAGGTAAGGAGCTTGTGAATGGGCAGGTTGCTTTCTTTTTGCTTTGATGTGAGTAGAAGTGATAAGACAAGCAACAGCCTAGAAGTCTTTAAAGCAGAGAAGAAGACAATAGTAAATGCTGAAAAAGTTCCCTTAGATTAGGGTTGGGCAAAATGCAGCCTGTGGGCTGGATGCAGCCTGCCAGGCCATTCTACCCAGCCTGTGGGACCCATAAAAGATTTAGAAAATTAATATTTATCTGCCCCTGGCGGCCTGTCATGTGGCCCTCGGTGGCTTGCCAAAACTCAGTAAGTGGCCCTTCGCCCGAAATAATTGCCTGCCCCTGTCTTAGATGAATCATTTTGCATCAGTTTCAGAAGTGTTAATAATAGACTACTGTTTTGATAAGTCATCAATACTAACTTAATAAAAATCACATAAAAAATCATTAATAAAGACTCTTGGCTAATGCAGAGTTGTGGTTGACTTGCAGTGCATCAAACCCTTCCGAAAACATTGGCATGGTTCAGCCATGCTCAGAATTACTGAAAACCAAGCATTACACAGCTAAGGTGTCTTCTGCCTTTCTGTTACATAGCCTGCATAGCCACTTGGAAGGGGGCAGTAAGAGTGGCTTAGTAAGAGATGCGAGTGATAGTTATTGCTTATGTTTGACGGAGATAAATTCCAGTATGCACTGCAGCTGCAGTCACAGTGTGTGGTGTTGCTGTATTTAAGGGTGAAGAGCTCAGTTGGAATGGTTGTGATGTGTTGCAGATGTTGAGGGATCAAGTTTGCCTTGTGGGAACTTTCCTGAGGTGGAAAAGGAGGTCAGCCTAAGGCCTTTTTTTTTTTTTTTTTT